AAATTATTAAGGTGCACCATTAATTTATTTCAGTACTAAAAAGAAATAAGTTCAGCATTTTTTGTTCTGAAACGAGTGACCAAGAAAATGCAGAGAGACATAAAAAACCACAGAACAAAAATAATGACAACGTGTGTACATATAAAGATGTTATTATACTGTTTTAGAACTTTCAGCAATTTGAAAAAAAAATTGAACATTATATAGATACATATTCAAAAACAGATTTAAAAAACAGTTATATATGAGAATATATAAAAGCCAAAGCAACCTATCGAATGAGACACAAAACACGTCCCAAGGGATATCAAACATCCCTTAGGTCAACGATGAAAAACAAATAAACGGATATAACATAAAGAGGAAAGTTGGGGTTTTACTTTACACGACGTGTAGATCTTGAAAAAATAACCGAATTTTCTTAATAGGATATACACCTATGCCTTAACGGAACCGAGATATTGGCTTCGCAAACTCAATCAAATCTGAACCGAACCGAAGCCGGTCCTGTCATATCCATTCGTTACGTGCACAGCCTAGTTCCAGCGTACAGTTATACGGCGTACGACTGAGATGTAATTTTACGACAGAGCCGTACTTGGAATTTCAATTCAACTGAACAGTGGGTACTTTTGAATTGATTTTTTTTTACTTGCTTGCTCACGTTTCACCACACATTAGCTTTGTTATATCAAGCGTAGTTGTATCCTGAAAAGGACAACCCCAAGCTTGAGTTTTAAGTTAAAAGAGTGTAGTTGCACAAAACTTTGCCTTCGTCTCAAAGCAATTCAAAGATACCTTCTCCTAACGAGTTAAGGCGATTTAACTATATATATATATATAATAATACCAGTATATGTATAGGTATACCAACTGAAGTAAGAGATAAGAAATCCAGCCCGCTTGTCTCGAGCTTTTGAATAGCATCTAAGAGTGTAATGAGAGCCTAACACGGATGTTAGGGTCTCATTACACCCTTATCACTTCTATTCTGATGATATGAGTATCAAAAATTCAAAGGTAATCTATCCCAAATGTTTTAATTTAAGTAACAGATACATACGTAACGCATGTTGAATGTACATCTTAATAGCCAGGCACTCATTTCATTTCAAAGTAATGTTCATCCCTTGTAAATCAGCAGTCAAAACACGTATAGTGAATCAAAAAGAGTACCATCCTCAAAATTATATTATCAAAAGATTTAGTCCAAATGGATTTTCATCATCAATGAAATAACAGTAAACATACAAAAGTTGTCCAAAAAGGGTATTATCCATACACATGTTTTGAACATTGTTTACAAGTTCCAGAAACTCGTTGCGTGTACAAACAGTTGTGTTTCCTGAATATGATGGATTCTGAAGGGCCCTTAACTAATTGGGCAATGAGGGTCACCGAAGAGAAAGCGAAATATAACTAAACGGCAAAAAGCTATTGTGACTGTAACTAAGACGATGGTGAAGTAGCCATATGACTCATTGTATCTACGCTTTGTAACACATTTTTGAATTAAATTACCACCTTTATTTTTCTTCCAAATAATTCCATTTATTTCAATCCAAATGGGATGAAATCCCATTATGTTTTGTTCAAATAGGAGTATATTCATACATATTTTCTTCAAAAAGAGAAGCAGAAATTTATATTATTATAGTAAACGGTATTTTACTTTATTGATTTCAATGCTTAAGTTTGTGAAGAAAGAACTCAAAGACCGCATTTTCTTTAGAGCAAAAATCTTTTGAATGTTTGCTTCTCATATACAACTATATATAACAACTAAGCACATCGAGGTCAGTGGTGATAATACCCTTTGGTACGAGTAAGGCTCAAAACAGGTGCCTCAGTAAAATAAGTATTAGCATGAAAAGTGCAAGAATTATTCTGAAAGATATAACAAAAAAATTTTGCTGTGCACCTAGATTTCTACTCAGGTTCTCGGAGCATGTCGCACCTATGTTGAGAACAGCATACAGTAAGCTTAAAATCCTATATGATAATAGACGTGTCCGCACAAAGCAATCGAGGGAGATAAGGGTGGAAGCTTCAGTGTTATCACATGCTACCTATGCAGATGCAGTGTTAAGGTAGGTTTACCTAAACGCGATGACAGATTACAGCTTCAAAATTCATGCGGAAGTTAAGAGGCGAGATCATATTTCTCAACACTTCTAAGGCATGCTACCAATGTAATATCGTGGATCTTGCATTCAATTTGTATGTTTCACTATCACCCAATAGACTCCTGCCGATCTATATAACAAAATTATTTGCAGTACAGACGTCCTCACTCCTAAATTATGTATATCGTTTTTAAAAGTTTCTTTTTCTTACAATGTCGCACAGATATTTCGAGTTATTATAATGTTTTTATTGACATGATATGAAACATACAAAATTCAACTCCTTGGTGTATAAGTAATTCATTTATGGTTTTTTAACCATTTACGGATCAACCATCTTGCTTGTAAGGTAGCACGGTAAGGTTTGGGTGAAGAATTATATTTTTTTTCGGTTGAATGAAACAGCGGATGCTTACGCTATCTTGGCAAAAAACCATTTATCATATACGTACCGTACCACTCCTCGTATAGAAACAAACCTTTACCTATTTCTACAGTGCCTTAAAAGTGCAACAAGTCCACCGTTCTCGACTCTCGACTCTAAGAAATGTATTAAGCGTGAACGGGCATTAAATTAGGACGACAAGGCTGCGGTACTTGCTGGCACTGTGGCGCGCCATCATCTACAAGACTTCTTTGGCTCTCGGTTACAACCTTTACAATAATTAAACAAGGCGTCAACGCCTTTTTGGGAGACACGCCGAGCACGCTCTTCGCACTCGGGCAGCTAATTCCGGACAATTCTTCGTCCTGGAAATAGTTTCGCCTTTATATGGTGGATGTATTAGATGGATACAATAATTAACAACTTTAAATTATTCACTTTTACGTAGGAAACTTGTGATCACCGTATGATTAAGAAGCAACATCCCAACAAACATTCTCAGTTACAATTCCGTTAATTCGACCACAAAATATACTAAGTGACATATAAATCCGAACACCCAGTTTAAATGGTTTTATTTTAATAAAATTTTGTATAAGTACTTAATGAAACATAACAAGTAAATGATAAAAATTTCAAAATGATTGCACTGCTTTAAAGCTCTTTGACCTTTAATAATGCGTGGATGCATCCTGATGTGCTACGCATTCTCCAACGCGCCTAGGCATGCTTCTGATCAGGTGGTCAATGTCCTCCTGTGGTATCTCATTCCAGGCAACCACCAACTCCTCTCGAAGTGCTTCTAGAGTCTGAGGAGGACGTTGCAAATTGAGCAATCTCCTACCCATCATATCCCACACGTGCTCAATTGGGGATAAGTCGGGAGATCTTGGTGGCCATGGTAACAATGTGACATCATTATGTTGAAAGAAGTCTATTGTGACTCTTGCAACATGTGGTCGGGCATTATCTTGTTGGAAAGTTGGATCTGCCAGGGTGTCAAGATAGGGTAAAAGATGGGGTTCTAGAACTTCGTGGATATAACGCTGCGCGTTCATGTTACCTCTGATGAAGATTAAAGGTGACCTGGAACCATAAGCTATAGCACCCCAAACCATAACTCCAACAGTGTGATGAACATGTCAACTGTGGATTCCTCCTTTCACCACGTCGCCTTCTAACCCTGGCACGACCATCGTGCATGCCTAAACAAAATCGAGACTCGTCACCAAAAGACAATACTGTTCCATTCCTGATCCCAGAGTGACCGTTGTCTGCACCACTCAAGGCGATTACGTCGGTGTTCTCGAGTTAAAGGGAGGACCCAGTGTGGCCGGTATGAAAACAAGCCAAAACCTCTCATTCGTCGGTAAACACTTCGCATGCCAATAGGTCTTCCGTGTTCTGCAAACCATTCATTTGCAATGGACCTGGTAGTGGAGAAACGGTCCCTTAAGGCCAATAATCTTAGGCGGCGATCTTCACGGTCTGTTGTTCTACGGCGGCGTCCAGTGCCCCTTGCTCTTTGCGTACGGCCTTCTCGAAGCCATGCCTGACAACACCTAACCACAGTGTCTACACGTCTTTGCACTCTAACTGCAATTGCCCGAAAAGAAAGTCCAGCTTCCTGAAGTCCCACTATACGGCCCCTATCAAACTCACTAAGTTGACGAAATCGTACAGGTCTCCGTACTCTAGGCATCGTAACCGATCGTAAAGTATGTCAAGAACCAAAATCCGCCAACGTTGATTCTTTACTGCGGCTGAAATATTCATTTTTAGAGCGTTAGTGAATTAAAAAAAAGCAGTATAAAAACCGGAATGTCCAACTGATAAGGCTGAAAATTTTTTCACTTATTATTTACAGTAAGATGAATACATTCACCAACTTTTATTAAAATAAAACAATTTATACTGGGTGTTCGTATTCATATGTCACTTAGTATAGGTCAAACAGGTTGCAAGATCAATTTAAAAAAGGTTATATTATTTTACTTTCAAGCGTTTGCCTTTGTCGTCCCAAAGTGTGAAACAAAACAAAAGCAATTTGGAAGTCACTGAGCCATAATCATAAAACAAAGGATATCCTTGTACTTGCAAATTTTGAAGGAAATCCTGCTGATGGTTTTTATAATAATTTGAAGTAAATGCTTTTGCTTTTTGAGTATAAGCATATCCTTCAAAGCAGTGACATAAATAAAAGGATATTCATAATCTTCACCTTATACTTGGCATAGGAAGCATATCCTACAAAAATTCTGAGTGTGGTTAGTAGCAGATTCAACTTCGTAACGAAAAGTGGTCAAGCAATAATAGCGGAAATTGTGGATGCTAGGGATGTTAAAACGTACAAAACTCGTTTACGATCAGTTGATCGTGACTTCAAAGAGTTATATCGGTTCGACGAAGCAAATGTACAATAGCTTGCGGGCAGATTTTTAGTTGAGAATGAGGAAACTCGAGGAGGAGCACTTTCATGTATTCATAAAATGAAGATATGTCTACGCTTTCTCGGTGATCCTGGATATCAACAAGGTATTGGTCAGGAACTTTGTGTTAGTCAAGCAACGGTATCTCGGACTGTAGATAAAGTTGTGAACAGCATAGTTGCACAGTCGAACGAATGGATCAAGTTTCCAACTACCAACCATGAACTGATGGAAGCAAAACGGATATGGCAAAGCATATATAAATTTTCGACAGCAATTTATGTAATTGATTGTACACATTTAGGAATCCTGAAACCAAATCGCCATGGAGATGAGTCTATCAACCGAAAAGGGAAACCTACTTTAAATGTGCTAGCCACTTGTGATGCAAGAGAGATGGTCACAAGTGTTGATGTCAGTTGGCCTGGATCAATGCATGATTCCAGAATATGGTGAAATTCACAGATTAGATCACAACTAATAAATAAAGCGAATGCTGTACTACTTGACTATGACGGTTATGGTATCGAGCCATGCCTCATGACTCCCTTCAGAAATCCTACTGCTTGGGTGATCCTGACTTTGAGTTAGTTGAACAAGACCCAGATTAAGATGAAGGAAATCATGAGAATGACGAACTCTCTCTCTCCGCCAACTAGGTCAACAATTAAGAAGAAACTTCGTGAATATCATAAGTTGCAGGTGGCTTCTGACGCTGCATCATTTCTAGTTTCGTTTTATAATACTCTTGCTGTAACATACTTGTTTGGTACTGCTGTAATAGCACTAGACGTTGCAGTTCCTTTGTAGTTAACCCTTTGGTTTCCTTAGTTTCGTATTTCTCTGTTGCTAATTTTCTTTTTGGTGGCAATGTCTTCTGAATTGCTGGCGCTGTAATACTAACTGTTTGCTTACTTCTTCTTGAACACTACCAACCTGAATGGCACCTCTAATTTTCCCAATTGTAGGATTACAGTCACCTTCCATAGCTTTCGGCAACCTTCTTTTCCAATCTAACAATTAGTTGCTGTTTTTTTTCTTCAATCTTGATTTTATGTTGTTGATTTTTTTAATAGGCCTGTATCTAACGGTTTACCGAATGTTGATTCGTATTTTTTCAACGTCTTCTTCAAGGCATCGTCATTTTTATTTTTGGGACTTGTGACTTTTTCAAAATAATGGGAGCAAGGGCTATTTCATCTGCGATGAACTGCAGGTCGTTGCCATTATTTTCTATAGTTTCCTCATCACTTGAGGATGACATGCTTATTAATTTGATAAAAAACTGTATCTAGTAAAAATACGGAACGGTCTGTGTAAGCTCTGGAGTACAACTGTCAGTGATGCTGAGTGAACGAACTCCCACGTCAACTACAAGCTGGAAGAAGTCAGGAAGGATATGTCGCTCAAGATACAAATACCAGTCAACCTTTTACTTCTTCTTGGAGGATATCCTCGCGAGTATAAGGTAATCATTATGAATATGAAAACAAGGATATGCTTATACTTCTACCTTTTTCTCCGAAGCAACACCTTATACTTTTACCTAATGCTTCCGAGGATATGTTTCTCTTTTATGAATACGGTTCAATATTAGGTCGACGAGGGACTTATCACTATTAGGTCGAAGGATATAAACAATGTAGATCATCTTGTGTTAAAATCGTAGTCATTTTGCACTACAAAATCACTTGGGCCTGACCTAAATTTAACAAAGAAACATACTATGTCGCTCTCTCTTGCTCATACATACAGTTGATAACCTATTGGTTAAACATAAGATAAGCTAGTGATTCACTCGTCTACAGCTAAGTGAGTCAAAGAAATGGCTTCCGTTAGTGGTTGTGATTATATCACAATGACATCAAGATTAGATTTTCGGTCACAAGTAAACAAAGAATCTATGCGCAAGTAATCTTTTTGTTAAATGTGGCAACAATGGTTATCCAACATTCAGGGGCCTTCGAACAAAGCTCAATCAGCGAATCTTGTTAACAATTTTAACGAGACACTCTGATAACAACATAACCTCAAATTATAAGAACGCTTTGTATTGAGGCTTGTTTTCCACCAATCTACTATATGTTTCAAGCTTACAAGGAATTTTTATTTGTTGTTAATAAGATAATTTTTACTTACCAGTATACCCAAAAAAGAACTTAACATAGAGGCCATATTTTAGGTTAACATTAGGGAAGCTATAGCCTCTGGATTTGTCTTCGACGTCAAAAATTCTTAGAGTTGTGTTTTATGTAGTTTTGAGACAACGAATATCACCTCTTGGTCAAAGATCTATTCAACCTTTGAGGACATCATTCAAGGATTTGATTAGTAAAATTTGATCAATATAGGTAACTTTTTTTTGGGTGGTAGCCTCGATCATCAAGCCTGGCTGAGGATGGAATTGGGAAGCATATTTCAGGTAACCCCAAAGCCAATTCTCTATAACAGAGGAAATAATAAATCACATTCATAGTATTATGGTTTTATTATTTATAAAATTTCCTAAAAAGAACATATTTGGACCAGTAGTACTTAGAGCATTTTGGAAACTTAATTTGTTTTTTGTTTGATTTTAGCTTGGAAAGTTGTGCCGTAACTTTCAAAACTTTTATCAGTTGCATTTAGAACTAAGATACAACATCATTTTGTACCTTGATTCTACGTATGTTGTATCTTGGTACTTTGATGTGGAATGCCTCCAAGTAGCAACAAATCTTCGTTAAAGCAGAAGTGAGGGAAATCAACAAAAAAATTATTCTTAGTCACTGAAGTATTATAGTGGCTAAGAATATACAGGGTGTCCACAAAGTTGGGGTTTTCCTTTACACGACGTGTAGATCTTGAAAACATAAGCAATTTTTCTTAGTACCATATACACCAATGTCTTAAGGGAACCGAGATAAAGGGCTCTGCAACATCAAAAATATCTTAATACCGTCCTGTAGCCGCGACATCCCCGAGTGGTACTAGGACACTAGCTCAACCCGACGACAGAACTGGGTCGGGGTCAGTGTGTCAGGTCAGTATGCAACCTTCAACCGACGGTTACGGTCACGCGTGTAGAGGCAATCGCGTAGACGAGAATCCCTCAACAAGTACTAGAGACGTGGCTAGAGAAGTGCAAGTATCAAAAACTAAAGTGTGGCAAACGCTGCGTGAAGAGGGGCTGTATCCGTTTTACGTCCAACGTGTACAAGCCCTTCAACCTGACGATTTTCCAGCAAGAGTGCGGTTTTGTGAGTGGTTGTTGCATCAACATGACAATAATCCGGACTTTTTGAAGTACATATTGGTGACAGACGAATCTACGTTCACGCGTAATGGGGTGAATAACTTTCGCAACACTCATGTTTGGTCAGTAGAAAATCCGCACGCTGTCCGTTGGGCACATTTTCAACAAACAATTTCGGTGAAGGTTTGGGCTGGCATTGTGAACGGTATGCTCATTGGACCATTTATTCTCTCAAATCGATTGGACGGGATGCAATACCTAGACTTTTTACGCAACATTTTGCCTTCCTTGTTTGCCTGCGTCTGCTCGTTAGCTGATTTCATTTTCTGTTGGAGCGGTATGATTTTGGGCAGAGACGTACTTAGCCCTTCTCGTCAACTGGAGAGTGAGTACTTTTTCCTTAATTTTTTTTTACCTTCAAGGGTAGTTGTTTCTGAAAAGGAAAACCCCAACTTCGCGGACACCCTGTATAGTAATATCAGTAGCTTAGAAGTTTTTGTAATTGTCGAGAAGAGGCGCCTGTCATAATAAGGTGTGGTAGCTTTAACATGATGTCTTCTTTATCTAAGTCGAAACCTCATCTTCTCTGGTGAACTTAAAGCAAGCAAGATCCTTCTTTAAATATTTGGCTGTGAATATGTTATCATTGCACGTAATAACTTAATAATAAATTTTTACTAACATAAAATAAAATTACAATTTTTAACAGGGTCCTGGTCTTCTGTCTTCATAATATCATCAGAACATTCTTCGGAATCACTGGACCTAACACATGTCTTCCAGATCTATATCATTATCTTCATCTGAACTTAATTCGATTTCGATTTCTCATTTTTCGACAGGAATAGCAAAAAATTGCATGTTGTACATAATTTATTTATTCATTTAGTATAAATAAAAGATTTTTAACAGGGTCCTGGTCTTCTGCCTTCATCATATCATCAGAACATACTTCGGAGTCACTAAACCTTACATACATGTCTTCCAGATCTACATCATTATGTTCATCTGAAGTTAATTTGATTTCGATTTCCCATTTTTCGACAGGTATAGCAAAAAATTGCCTGTTGTATGTCATTTATTTATTTATTTAATATAAATAATGATTTTTAACAGGGTCCTGGTCTTCTGTCTTCATCAGAATATTCTTCGGAATCACTGGACCTTACACACGTGTCTTCCAGATCTATATCATTATCTTCATCTCAACTTAATTCGATTTCGATTTCCCATCTTTTGAAAGGTATAGCAAAAAACTGTATGTTGTAATGAAAAGTTTGGTTCTATTTTTAAAAGGTCCAGACATTACTGTTTCAAACTATTGCATTATAACAAGCCCCAAGTCATTTTAATTTTTTCTTGACCCAATACTAGTGCGCGTATTGGATCGTCACGCGCCGATATTTGCTTTGATGGGGCGTGAATGAGATTTGAATACATAATAGAAACATGACATTTCGCAGAAAATGAATGCATTAAGAAGCTTGATAAACTTCAACAGCTCTCAGAATCAGTTTGTTATCATTCCCTACTACAACATCAAGGGGGTATAGAGATGTAGATAAAAATCGTGCAGACCGTTTGATCATCTGACTGACCGTAAAACCTTGACCTACTTATACTGAACTTAACATCCTTTCAATCAACTAAGACTCTGTTTGAGGTCCTATTCTACTCATTAAATGATTTCAGTAAAAATCGGCGAACGTCCCTGTTTCCGCAGCAGAAAGAAGCACACAGGCAGACAAGCACCAGTCAGGTCAGGCAGCCAAGAGAAAGAGAGAAGAATCTTATCCCGCTGTTAGGTGCAGCGGTACCGTGACAATAAAAATTATAGGCTAGCTGAACTGGAAAACAACAGGTCGAGCAGTCGCGAGAGGCCGGGGATATAGTGGATTGCATTCATTAGCGATGGACACGCAAGCAGAGAGTGAGTGTGTGTGTATGTGCGTCCCTGGTACAGCTGCAGGTACAACCTGCCTGCTTGCCTTCTTTACCTCGACATTGCCTCTGTCGCCCGGTGAAATTCATTGCTCGGCGTTTCACATTTGTCAAAAAAATCTTCCTTTTAGTCTTGATCTACACTATAGGGCCACGTTCAACTGTACGAACAATCTGATTTTGATCAACATAACCTCTGTTACAATTGCTTATAAATATAGGATACGAAGAGATGATAATAGAATTAAAGCGATGAACGTGACAAAGAACAATTCCACCTTACAAGTGCTCGAAGTACTACCCTGCACCTTATCACTTTCATTACGAGGGTAGTACATACACAATTTAACAAGGGCTTTAATGTCAGGATAATTCCAAAGCCACGTAACGTAACGACAGGGGAGTTGTCCTTCCTTGGCGAGATATACGGCCAATAGAACTGGGTTATCGGGCCAAGGCTATTTTTCAGAAAATCCTTATGAGTACCTCCCATATTCTACCGACTCATGACATGCAAAACTCTACTATCTATTCGTTGTTTTAATTAGCTGTTTTGATACTGATCATCAAACAATGTAATAATGCCCATGATATTTCTCAATTGTATTGTATGGAGAACCGCATGGAAGTCACGCCTGTGTCCATACTTCGAGGAACAGTAGCTTTCTACCGCATGGAAGTCAGATATGCCAAAATTTTTATTGTTACGAAAAACGGCCTAGAAGCCAGAATATCATACTGCGTTGTCAATACCCAAAAGCTCCGACGTTTCCTCTGATTTATGGCTAACCGAGCAGCAAGATAACTTTACGTTGAAGTCAATATATACATCTTGACATCAGATACTTTCAGACTCCAGCGATTGCCTTGAGAGGAAGCTAGGCGGTCACACAGACCTGGGATACCATGTCGGCCAGTGGCCGTTGTGTGAATATCCAAAACGCCCCGACATTTCCCCTGACAAAGGAAACAGAGTAGTAATTCCCCCGCTGGAGTCCCGGCTTTGTAAGTCTCATAGTAGCGTCCAGGATCTGGATGTTTGACAATATGTTATGTAAAAATTTGTCTTAACCGTTGATAGACATATCTCATCTGACTGTTTTTGACTTATGGCAATTATTATCGTAATTATAAGGGTACCATGATTGAAAAATACACATGACATGCACTACAGCAAAGCAATAAGAGATACTCAGTGGAAACACTCATAGAAACTTTATCTGTTAGAACAATATTCAGATGAACTGAGAGGGCCTGTGCCTCAGCGTACCCTTGGTTTCACGAATACTCGTGAAATATACCAGGGTCGTAAGCGGTTGTTGAAATGTGTATGCCAGCAGTGCCTTTCTTACCATTCAAAGTGTCAAGTGAACCTTTTACAGGGTGACTCACATGCAGAAAAGTGCCTAACATATTGTGTATGCGTACATAAATAAAAAAAATGTTTTTGAAAACATGCTTTCATTTAACTTCTCATGACATGAACGTGGTGTCTATCTAAAACAAACATGATGCTTTCGACCCTCAGATCAAAAGTCAGCCAACCATGAGTAGCTGTTTCGTGCTTCTTGGCCTCTCATCAGCATGGTCTAGGCTTGGTGTCTCGTCTTTGAAACAAAGAACGAAAGCATTTCAACTAGCCTCTACCCGGAGGTACGGTCTTTCGAAATAAGCCAGCGCAAAGCCCCATCTATCACCAGAATCGAACATTGCCGAGAGCGCATAATTGCTATTGTTTGAAACTTTAAAGACCTCAGTTCTCGGTAAATAGCCCAGTCAGATTGTGACCGCTAGTTGGCTCATAGTAGATAGGCTACGCTCTCCGCAGTGGCCAATTCTGAGGATAGACGGTACTCTGCGCTGACTCATTTCGATAGCCTTTTTCTCCTGGAGATGCTTGAGGCATATTTGTCTAATTTTTTTCCTTTTAGCCTTGATCTACACTTTTGTTTGGTACTGTTGTTGTATAAGCAGCCTGCTCGCCTCTGCTGCCATGGGAAACGCTTTGCCAAATATTTCAGATTTGTGGAAAACAAATCTCTGTTTTAGGCTCAATGCAGCCTCGAAAGCGCTTTTTTGTTGAGACATCTCACATTTGGCAAAAAATTATACGTTTTATGATCTACGCTGTACGCTCTACGCCTACTGCAGTCTACTGGCCTCAAAGTGTAGTTCGTATGAATAACACTGTAGAGCCATTATTCAATGTACTCGTATGTGTCTCCGTGATGCTGCTGCAGGTATAACCTACCCGCTCCTGCTTGCTCCCACTAGACAGAGTGTCGAAAATTTTACAAGAAATCTCTTTTATTCTTTTATAGATCATCTTTTAGTCTAGGCTTCACCTCATATTCCCTTGAGCAAGTCTGTAGACTACACTACCAAATATTTACCTACTGGGTAAGTTTTTACAAGTAGTGATGATTAGTAATAAACTCCCACTATCAGTGTAGCAGCGGCAGCGTTTTAGATACTTCATAAAAAACAGAATCAGAAGGAAAGTTGCTTAAATCACCAATAGGCCGATATCAGCTTTCCAATACTAACACGATTTTTCGGTTTCTTTGAATCGAGAATACATTCATAAATCTCTTCAGACACAAAAGCCACTGACGCAATCCTCCCAACCAGATTACATGTCCCGAAGACAAAAGTATCCCGTATAATATATTTGAATTCGGATAGATAACAAAAGAAATATGCCTAATTAACAACGTTTTCGAGTCGTAAAACGAAGATAACATAAAAGCCGTATAACAGCTCTTTCTTCCATAAACTTCAACAACCACAATAAACTACATTCTTTATTGTTTATTAAAATGAGGTTACGATGTTTACTAAATGCCTTGGATATTAATGGTTTTTTGTAGTGAGTATGGCCGTGTGAGAGCCATGTTTATATAGGAATAGGAACAGTGAAATAGTATTGTCCACATGGATTTTGTAAAATCATAATGAATACAAATATGGCAAGAGCTATACCAGTATCACAGTTCATAATAAAAAGGCTACAAAATATGGAACGTTATTGTTCATGAAATTTCACTAAGATAATCAAGATAGAACTGAGTAAGTAGTCACATAATTTTATGGTGTTTGGCAATACGTATAGCTAGAAGAAATGGAGCTGGAGGTTTCCGTACTTTACACAAAACGCCTGTTAATTGTAAAAAAATATGCAACTCTTCCAGACGCATCTTTGGAGTTCGAGAGGAATCTGGTAACGACTTCCTCTCCTTTTTGAGTTGACCTGGAGAGAAGAGAGCTGGTTACAGCGTTGAAGGAAAAACCTTGTGTGCAGTTTAATGCTTCTGAGAAAACAGCGTGACACACAGATGCATCAGAAGGCATGCGCAATGTTAGTGTTTTTAATCAAACTTTGCCAATTTGGCTTGTAAAATTATCCTGCATATACAGGGTGTTTCAGTTTATTGTTGCATAACTTTAAGATTCGATAGAACTTTTAAAATTAATGCATAAAGTCTACATAAACATGGGTCGAAAAATGGGTGGCTTCCGAAATACAGGGTGTTTAAATTTACTTTCTAACATTGTTTATTTTAAATATTTCGAACAATATTTTATGTATAACACTGAAAATTGGTATACAAGGGTTTTTTGGTACGACAGTTTTACTGTAGCCGCTAGAGGGCGCTCTCTACTGTACCTGTAGTGTATTAAAATGACCGAAAATTTTTTCTTAGTGCAATTTTTTACTTTTTGAACAAAAAAAAAACGATTCTTCTCACATTTCTGCACAAAAAAGCTCTCTCGTGAGTTTTCGTTATAGTTAGCCGTTTTTGAGATATTTCGATTTTTAAGGTTCGATGCATTTTTAATTATTTATGGGAAAATAATATTTTTTTTACATTTTCGATTTGGGCATTACAAGTAATTAAGATGATCGTTTAGATTGTGTTCTTAAACACAGCAATAATTCCTAACTCCAAATAAACACAAAAAACAGAATATTAATTTGTTTAATTTTCCAACATTACTTTTAACAAATTAAATTTATTATTTACAACTAAAATACTATTGGATAGTTAGGACAAACATACAAAATCTAAAGTAGTTGCTCGAAATGTAAACCCAATTGTTCAATACACAATTCACATCTACGAATGATCGAACGTGGTATAGCATTATTCAATTAAGGCCTTATTTCATCACACGCATTCATCATTCTGTCTATTAGCATATCTCTTGTGGTCACGGGAGTCTGGTACACTTTTTCTTTTATAAATCCCCACACAAAGAAATCTAATGGATTTAGGTCAGGGGATCGTGGAGGCCAGGCGACTGGGACAACCATCAAGCTGGAATCAGGCCAATCTTCTTAAATCTAATATAACATCATCCCACATATTTGCATGTTCAGCCTTTAAAAATTCCAAGGAGGTCGCAGCATTTAACCTTGCAGGCAAAAGGTAAGGTCCAAATAGTCGATTACGGTAGATACCAATCCACACGTTCACACTAAATTCATGCTGAACATTGCTTTCCCGAACTGCATGCGGATTTTCATGCCACCAAATAATGTCTAGTCTAGTGAAGCATGACTCATCGGTCCATAAATCGTTACTTAAAAACTCTCTATTATTATCAGTTCTAACAAGAATCCACTGACAAAATGTGATTCTTCGTTCTCCGTCCCCTGGCTGTAGTCCTTGCACAGGCTGCAAATGGTAAGGACGTCTATGGTCATTTCTAAGAACATGGTGAATATGGCTTGCTGAAATTCCCAAGGCACCAGAAACTCTCCTAACACTTGTGGTCGGATCTCTATCAAACTCACGCAGAATCATACGGGTAAATCTGCGCTGACGAACATTTATGTTTTGATCCCTTTGGAGATTTCCAAAACCATTTTCAATTATT